TATTCTATTCTATTCTATTCTATTCTATTCTATTCTATTCTATTCTATTCTATTCCATTCCATTCCATTCCATTCCATTCCATTCCATTCCATTCTTCATTGTTCTGTTTTGTTCTCTCCTGTCCTGTCCTCTCCTCTCCTCTCCTTTCCTGTCCTCTCCTCTCCTCTCCTCTTCTAAATCTGTGTTAGAAGGGACAGACGCTGTATTGATTAAGCCATTTGAGCAGACCAAATATATGCAACTGATATGAGAAGACAAATAGACGATAACTTTTGTAAAAACAGGAAGTGATGAAACGGGCCTAGTTTTTGGCCTGCAAAGCCTGCAGAAGCCTTCCTCAAGTTTCTGGGAGGCCAAAAAAGGCTGCAAACTGGCCGAAAATCAGCTGTGAGGCATGCCCAGTGAGATAAGTTTGCCTGCAGCTCGCATGCCAGCACAAATAGCTCTGCGTGCCACCTGTGGCACGTGTGCCATAGGTTCGCCATCACGGCTCTAGCCAAACTCCAAAATGATTTAAATGGGGTTAAGTGTCAGAATCCTGACAGCTAGCTGACTCTGAGACACATAATTCATTGTCACCCTTGACCCTGTTTTTCCCTCCACCCCCTGGGTGTATCGTAATTCATATTCTCCAATGGGACACATCCATAGCCAAGAGTTATACTCTCCAGTTAGAATTTTTGTGAGGCAGAAAGCTTATGGAATGCAAGCTGCTCACTGCTTCCCTCTCCCTTTCTGTTGGCAACTCTAAAAGACCACAGAAGTATTTTATGAGTTGACACCAAGGGTTGCTTGTCATTGACTAGCTAATCCTAAGAATGGTGGGTTTGGCTGGAAGATAGAAAAGCAACCTGTTTTGTTTATAAATATTTTTTTTATAGTTTTTGTATCACAAATTCCATTTCTATATGGAACCATGTGTTTTCCAGGTGCCCAAAATATTAGAATATAAACATCATATAATCATTATAATCATGTACATACAAACATAATATATCAATCATTGTTAGAAAGTATACTATCTTCCATATTGACTTCAGTTATATCGCCATCAAAATATTTACTAATCAGTTTTTCTTTCTCATGGAGTCCATATTTCACATAAATCCACTCATCTAACCCCTGTATCTATCAACTAGCTATTTGTAGAAAAGTTCCCATATTCTGAATGTTCTTTTTCTTTAATTTTTAGAGTTAACCTATCTATTTCTTCACATTCCAGGTTTTTTTAATTATGTTATCATCTGTAGGGGTTTCTTCATTTTTCCAGTATTGCGTGTATGCCATCCTGGCTGCTGTTAGAATATGTAAAACTAGCTCAATATCCGTGCTTCGTTATGAAACTATGTGGTCGGGATTAGTTTTTGCGGAGGAAAATAGAGAAAAAAGAATTCTGCCTCTGCCTACCAGCATCCACCAGTATTCATCTGGCTAGCGTCCTGTCAGTGTGAGAGAGAGTTGAGGGCTGTTTGGAAACTGAAACAGTATTTGCTGTGTGACAGCAAGGAACCTGGGCATGGCTTAGTTCAACTGTTCTGTACTAAAGGTGCTTGGTGCTGTGAAACTGAAACTGAAACTCCTCTGCTTGTGTTTTGCATTTGGAACAGATTTCAGGTGGGGAGGGGGAGTAGAACGCCTTAGCATCAGAGCGTGTTAATAATAATAATATATGAAATACTAATGCTCTGATGGTTATTTCAAAAAATCCTTTCTTAGTGAGCACCTAGAAGCCAAGAGGAACACACGTGCCAAATTTCAAGTTTGTAGGCTTTACGGTTCTGGAGATTTTGTGATGATGCATGAGTGGTATTTCGCTTTTATATATATATATAGAAAGAGATTAAATATGTATTACCTTTATTATAATTTTCTGGTAGCATGCCCAATAGGAATGTCTCAGGTTTCAAGTCTATGTGTTGTTTTGTCACAAGTTCCAGCCCTATGTGAATTTTTTTCCAATATTTTTTTTTTGCTTTGGGACACACCCACCACAAACGATATTACAAACAGGGTATTTGGTTACATTTCCAACATTTAACAGATTGACTTTTATACATATTTGCTATTCTTGCAGGTGAATAGTGCCATCTGTAAAACATTTTATAGAGATTCTCTGTATATGCTGTTGACATCGTAAGCTTATAATAATTTCTATTCCATCATTTCTGCCACCTGCCCAGAAAAGCAACCTGTTTTATCAGCAGGAAAATTGCACCCTGAAATCACCAGGTGCCAGCATCTCTTTGGAGGCAAATGGGATGCTGGAAGTAACATTATGTTTTCCTCCCCTCTTTTTCTTCTTCTTCTTCTTCTTCTTCTTTTGTTTGTCTACTAGTAATCAACATCAGAAAAACTCTGAAAATGTAAAAGACTCTGAATTAACCTCCCAAGGTGACCAGAGTCCCCTTCCAAACAGATTTGTTGGTGAAGCCGAATCCTCTTCATTGAAAGATTGCTCTCGCTACGCTTGGAGAGGAAAATATAAACCTACAAAGGGCCTCGGAGAATTCAAAAGTGGGAGTTTGGATCTTGAAGTGAAAGAGCAGGTGTTTTTATCCCCAGATGTTTGCGATGATGAATTAGTCCCTGGCTACAAAGACACAATCACACCTTATGCCTGCTTTTACGCTCCGGCAGCGAAGAAGGTTAAGGAAGGTTGGCTCGATAAACTCTCGCCTCAAGGGTACGTAGCCGAAAAGCACCAATTATAATGATTATATAATTATGACGATTTTACAGGGTGTAGAGAGCCAGTTTGGTCTACGGGTTGAGGCGCCAGGCTAGAAACTGGGAGGCGGTGAGTTCTAGCACCACCTTAGGTAGGAAAGCAGATTGGG